CTAATGAGAAAATTAATACAACGCCAAGATTTAATTATATCCCCATGTCCCCAATGTGTGCTTCTCAGGTTAGTGTTCCCACAAGCGGTCTGAGAAAGGGGAGCTCCGCAACTGAATGAATTTGGGGAATGATGCCAACTGGGTTGCTCTCTTGGGGACGCACAATATGCCTAGAAGCTTATCAGAGCCTCTGAGACATCTGTCACTGAAGAACCAGTTTGATTTTGTTGAACCCTGCATTTCCCAAATGAATTTCTCTTCAGATACCTCGTTCCTTGATAACAGCTACCTCTTCACATCCAAAAAAATGACTATATCTGGGAAATACTGCAGTAAGTCCATCCCATGGTGACAAACCCCAGCAGTTACTCTAAGATGATTACTGAACTGATTTAGTTGTGTTTTAATGTGATTATCATAAGGAGCTACCGAGTTAGATGACGTTTAGAAGATGATAACTTCAAAAAAGAAACCAAATGTATACAACTTTAGAGTTAGAAGACGAAAACAAAGATAGAACAGTCCACACTATTCCTGACTAGAATAACTAACATGAGGAAGGAGATGGACACTTTTTCAGACACTGGTTAGCACAAACCTTGCAAATGAACAAACGCCAGAATTCCAAGAATATTGAATCCATATATGAAGGTTCATCATGAAAGGTCAATGTCTACACAAGAGACTTTCTGGAAAGGTACCTAGAACAGAAAGATCAAGGACAAAAGACTGAATGGGATATTTACAGATCCAGTGTGTGTGTGTGTGTGTGTGTGTGTGTGTGTGTGTATGATGGTGATAGTGATGGTGATGATGATGCACCTAATGTAGAGAAAAGAGTAAAAAGATTAACTTGGAACATCCGAAATCCTAAAAGTGATAAAGGATAAATACTTCTGAGGCTTCCCTCTTTGGCCATGGCGAGATCTGAAGAGAAATGTCTTATTCCTACAAAGGAATCTGAATATTGGGACTCTCCTACTTAAGGCACTTGGTATGGGGTGGGGGTGGGGGGGAAGGCACTTGGCCTGGGAAGAAAAAACACACACATATGAAATATGCTTTCACTGTGACGTTTCTTTGGAGCAGGGGGTGCTCACTAACCTTCATCCCTTCACCTTCAAGGGTGTTTCACAGGAATGGCCCAGAGCAGATGTGGTTTCACCACCGGGCACAGCTGACTGGACATTCAGCTTGCTGATCTTGGTGGCCTGCTGCAACACCGCCTGAGAATGGCACCAAATACCCTTTTATCTCTGCCATAAATTTTCCACTTTGCTTTTCGCTCTTTTTATCACTTCCGTTTCTTTAACTCACTAGCAAATGGTCCTTGACTCCCGAATCTATGTTCCTAACCTGTTCACCATCCTACCCTGCTGCTCAGAGGGTCACTAGAAGAAGCAATCGCACTGACCAAATCTTTCCCCCCATGTGTATGAAACATTTTTTAAAGAAGAGTCCAAAGTCCATGCTGTTTTCAAATTTGAACTTGAATCACAAACCCACATTTTAAAAAAAAATTAAAGTGACTGACATTCCAACTTGCAAACAGTTTTATACACTTGAAGCCTTTGGCTAACCCACAGGATCTAACATAATTGGCACATATTCAAGCATACGCCTTGGAATTTCCCTCCGTGGGGCTTCTCAGTGTACATTCTGCCCTCCCCAAAGTTATCGGCTTCTTGGATTAGATGAACTCTCACTGGCTTCCAGCACAGTTGGTAGCTACAGAGCACCTGGAGGTCCCCAGGGCATGTGTCCTTAAATCCCAGTAAATCTCCAGCAGGTCTGACAGCCCACCTACACAAGAAAGGAGGCTGGAGAGAATAAAATCCTCAGCTAGAATATCAGCGTTATCATTTCTTTGGCAGGAATCAAGATCAGAAAACCCGAAGACATGACATTGTGCATTTCACACTAAAAGACCTATCCGTCAGTATATCACCCAATTATCGTATCAGCTTCTGCTGAGACCCACAGAAACGCCTGTTATCACATTCTCCTATTGCTCAAGGAGCTCATACAGGTTTCTGTGGAAGGTAAGCTTATAAATAAAAGCTGGAATTTGGAATTTTCAGTGGAAAATATGCATGTTAACTAGGAGTAAGGCAGACGAAAAACACTGGTTTTTTTCAACTACTTAGAATTTGCATTCGAGTTTATGTTTTAGTTTCTTTTGTCTTCCTTCATTTATAGGATTTAGAAAAAAGACATGAATACTGGTTAGAATACCCTTTTAAATTAGTAATTCTAAAAATGGAGAGGAAATTAAAAACTATAACAAAAAGCTTTACTAACCTTACAGCAGTCCTACAGCCAGGAGGAAACAGCTCTTGTGAAACTCTGGCTTAGCCCGGGCTAAATGAAAACATCAGTCTATCCGCATCATTTGAGAATTCTGTGCCATGTCAGCTATTAACTTAGAAAGGAATTATGATGCCTGATGCAACCTGATCCAACCCTTCCTGGCATCCATATCCCTGCACATTATTCAGTCTGTGCCAGGTGTCCCCTTCCTCCCTCTTTCAGGACAAAGTAAAGGTAGCAGGAAGAACTGAACTTTGCTAAAGAGGATTTCTGGAAACAGGAAAAGACAATACTTCCTGGCTTGAGATCCTAAACCAGTGATGGCGAACCTTTTGAGCTCGGCGTGTCAGCATTTTGAAAAACCCTAACTTAACTCTGGTGCCGTGTCACATATAGAAATTTTTTGATATTTGCAGCCATAGTAAAACAAAGATTTCTATTTTTGATATTTATTTTATATATTTAAATGCCATTTAACAAAGAAAAATCAACCAAAAAAATGAGTTCGTGTGTCACCTCTGACACGCGTGTCATAGGTTCGCCATCCCTGTCCTAAACCCTTCCTATCTGAGTGATAGGGGTTAGCTCTCCAGCAGTGCCCCCTGGCGTGGCGATACCCAGTTATGCAAAATCACCGGCAGTCCCCCCAAGAACTGTACGCTTTAGGTCTCCCTTCTAGTCATGTCACTTACACAGTTTCCCCAAATCAGGATCCATCTCTACTCTAGAAAGGCTTCCCTGACCAGTCTAGGTGCCCCCATTTTCTATTGCCCACCCCTCTGCTTTGGCACATCCCATGCTGCTAGCCTCCCAACATCATCATTCATTCCAACCTACCTAAAAGGCTCACACATTATCTAACCCAGCGTTCGCCAATCAGTGGTCCGCGGACCACTGGTGGTCTGTGAGGTCTGAATGGTTGGTGACCGCTGATTCTAACCCACATCTTAGATTATATAAATATCATCTTTACTTCTAAAAACAAATGTCAGTTTCATTTCATATCCACTTGGTGGGCTTATACTCAGGAATGTGAAGCAGATTTGTTTAATGTCCCAATAAACAAGTCTTTACTTCCCAGTAAATGATTTTCAAGCTTTTTAGTAACAGATATAGCTTGGTTTGAAAAGGTCAGCTCCACTGAACTCAGAGCCAGCAGCTTTGTCAAACCAGCATCAAGACTAGAGGATACTCAGCATATGTCAAGAATATAAATAACTCCTGCACATCAAATGCAAGCCTGATAGGTGGAAGCTGCAAAGAAAGGTTCATCCAAAAAGAAATACTATCCTAAGTGCCAAATGAGAACCTTAAATGCAACATAGTAAATGCCACACATCATATAAACGAGGAATTTTCCTTATGTTGCAGAGTCCATAAATATTCATTTGTTTTACAAACATCTGGAAGTGTATTACACATCGTCATCTATAAAAGGAAAAAAATATTGACCACCGTTCTCCATGAGCATCATAATTTAGAAAGGGAGACTTGCAAGTCAATAAATGACCTCATATAGAGAGTGAGCCATGAGCCATGTCAATCTGGGAAGTGCACAGGGCTCAACAAGTTGGGAGTGCAAAGAACAGAATGGGGCCCAGAAAAGGCAACAGAAAGAATCACTAGATGGAGATAACAAGATGTTGATCAAAAGATTTCAAAGGAAATCCTGGGGAATAAGATGTCCATAGGAAGCTTTAAAAAGCTCCAATATATTCTTGGGAACCTACAAGGCCACATGCATGTACAGGGCTGTGTGCCTAGACAGAGCTGTGCATACTGGTATGCTCAGGAAAGAGCTAAAAAGACTCTAATCTATTGTGTAGAGATGAACCTCCAGGCACTGAGCAAACAAGAAGGAAAGGCTAAGACAGATGTGTAAATTGACTGCCAGAGCATTGCAAACATACTCCAACACAAACACAGGGTCCCTTTGGCAAAGGCTGGGAGACTTACTGATTCGGGGGATTAAAGAAATCTATGTCCAATCAGCTGACCACTAAGCTAACCAAGCAGAACTTCAGTGGCCACACATGACAAAGAATAATGAACTTACATAAGTAATCAAGAAAAGTCAATAAACAAACAGAAACAACCCAGGAGAAGGTGAGATCTGACTTTCAGAGTTACCACATTATATTATTTGAAATGTCGTTTGCAATAACAAAAAAACCCAACTATGATATGTAAAGAAACTGAAAAAATGACTCACACCTGGGAATAAAAGTGGTCAATAGAAACTGTCCCTGAGAAAGACCATGTAGTAGACTTACTGAACAAAGACTTTAAATTGGCTATTTATAAATATGGTCAAAATACTAAAGGAAACCATGTCTAAAGAATTAAGGGAACGTACAAGAATGGTTTTATTAAGGAATATCAATAATGAAACAGAAATTATAAAAAAGAACCAAGTAGAAATACTAGATTTTAAAAGTGCAATAACTAAAATGAAAAATCACTAGAAAGACTCAACAGAATATCTGAATTGGCATAAGAAAGAATCAGGTAACTTGAAGATACATAATGGAGGCTACAAGCTCGTGCTACTTTAGGCCAAACTTCCTCCCCCATTAAACAGGAGTCACATTATGATTTTATTCTGGTAAATGAGAACAGTTCTGGAAGTTGAAAATTGGCTGAGAGATCTTATTATCTCCTTCCATATAAGATTTGATTGCATTTCCTACCTATTAATTAGAACAAGGTGTAAACTTCCTCAGAAGGATGGTAAAGGTGGAGGAGATGCTCTGGTGGTCTCTACTGGCAGGGTCTGGTGGCAGCAGGTCTTGGGAGATGATTTCAAATGGTAGTAGATGGCACTCAAACACACCCTAAGTGCAAAGTAGTAAAGGGAGTTAGGGGATGGCCCAGAGAGTGGTTCTCAACCAAGGGCTATACTGCCTCCCAGGGGGGACATGCAGCAATATCTGGAAAAGTTTATAGTTGTCACAACTAGGTACGTGCTACTGGCATCTAGTGGGTAGAGGTCAGGGGTTGCTGCTAAATGTCCTGTGATGCACAACAAAGAATTATCTGACCCAAAATGTCAATAGTGCAAAGGTTAAGAAGCTATGGTCTAAACAGAAAGCTATGAAGCATGCCAGACTTTCTCTTCACCCCGAACACACCCAGGCTTGCCTAGGAATTCACAGAGGGCCTTCACTACTGTCGCTGTGCACGGAGCATGAGGAACTGCAATCACTACAGAGACTGGAATGTGCGATCACTCACAGACACTGTGATGGTTAACGTTATGTATCAACCTGACTGTGCCAACGGGTGCCCAGATATTTGGCCAAAGATTATTCTGTGTGTGTCTGTGAGGGTTTCTGGATGAGATGACTATATGAATTGGTAGACTAAATAAAGCAGATTGCTCTCCTTAATGGGGGTGGGCCTCATCCAACCAGTTGAAGGCCTGAAGACAACAAAAAGGCTGACCCTCCCCCAAATAAGAGAGAATTCTTTCTGTCTAATGTGTTCTCATTGGACAAGGACTATCCCCCGTCTCTGGACTCAAACGGAAACATCAGCTCTTCCTGGTTCTCCAGCTGCAGGTCTTGGGATCTGTCAGCCTACATAATCATGTAAGTCAAGTCCTTATAATAAATATCTTTATTTTATACACATATATGTATACACCACACACATCCTATTGGTCCTGTATTTCTGGAGAACTCTAATGAATACAGACATATACACACATTACACATTATTGGCAAATAAATGACCTGCTTTATAAACCTTGATTACATTTTCTGGCTTTGACGGTACTTAGAAGAAACAAAAGCCCAGTATCTGTACTAGAGTTCAGTGCATTTCTCTGCCATCTTGAATTAGAACCATGCCTTCAATCCCCTACGTCTACATCCGGTTTCTGAGGCTCTGAATACAGTGGAAAGCCTGTGACGTCTCCCTGTCTGCTTCTCATCCTTTGGGTAATTTCACGTTGCTCTCCAGCACAGAGGACAGCCTAATGAACACCCGATAAAAATAATTCTTCAGCCTACTGAGAATGTGCTCTTCAGTTTCACCTGGATAATGATGCTTTTTGCCCCCCTTCACTGTATAAAAGTCTGGTACATTTCTTCTGTCTGTAATAAAAGTGCATCAAGATAAGAGTTGGCAGCTGGCTGTATTTGAAACTAGACCACATAATTACAGTGGAGCTCATAAGACTATGAAAAAAATATACATTAAAACTCACTAATTCAGACTTCATCAATTCTGAATTTGTGATCAAACACGGTAGGCTAACATTTACTGTTGCATTTGTCCTCAAAATAAAGGAACTAAGAAAACTAAGAGTAGGTGAAAAAGGTGATTATTTACCTTCCAAAAAGAGCAAATCATTATCAAGTCCTCACTTAGGAGTATCAATTTATATGTAAACACCACAATGACAGCGTAAGCAAATAACAGCTGTGGAGCCTGGGTTTCTAGTCCACAAACCTCTCCTAGTCCTGCGTACCTTCACAGGCTGGGACAGCTGGCAATAAAGGACAGTCAGGCAGTGTGGTGAGGGCTACCTGAGGAATGCGCTGTGAGCCACTGCACCGAGGAGAGATGGGGAGCTTCCCAGGAGTGGTGATGCCCGGGCCAGGGCCCTAACGAGGGGCAAGATCGGCTAGGTGTCCAGGCTGAGGGAAGACTGCAGGCAGAGGCATCCCTCAGAGATGTACTTATCACTGTACATCTGCTGCAGGGTTGTGGAGGGAGGTTAGGAAGCCGAGTTCCAGAACTTGGACTTCAGCTGAGGGCCCTGGGAGCCACTGCAGGGTCCTACACAAGTGAGCAACGGAGGCCCAGCATGTGTGCTTTCCCGGGGTCACTCAGGTAGCGGTGGGGAAGATGGCGAGGTGAGCACGGACAGAGGCA